GCTTTGAAGACATCTCAGTAGTTAATCACCGATTCATACTGGCCCCGCGTGGTGGGTCTGCCAATTCTCCCTATTCAGTTTGGTTCGATTCCATCCATAGTAAATGCAGAAGGCCTGAGCCCCAGTGAGGGCATTATTAGGTTGTTGATGGTGATGATAGATTAAGGATTAGGGATGATCGATATTAGAAAAACATCGATGTCATCATCGTAAGCCCAAAGTCGATGTTAGATATTTAACGAAAACTGAACTGATTTTTTGCAATAATTTACAAAGAAATAAAATACAGTGAAATCTTCTGAAATTTATTAAGAAACAGAACAAATTATTACATATTATCCAATATTTTTTATCAACTGATTGAAAAAGAACTATGTTTGATAAGGAAGAACTTTTTAATCTATTTCTTTATTGATAAAGAGTAGAGCCAGATTTTGTAAACATGTATGTAAAATATGTATCTCAAGATTATATGTATTACATACATAAAAAATCGGTTTTCTTTTTATCAAAATTTCGATGTTTTTGGTAATATCGACATTTAGTGTAAAATAGTTGAACTTGATATACGAGATCATCTGGCTAGTACATATAGAGTACGTTAGATGACCCTGAGGATATATTGGTATTTTATTCATAAACATTGATGTGCCAATGTTATTGAAGTTAAAACATCGATGTTTTCTAGCTGAGCATCGATGTTTATTCAACATCGATGAGTATCGATCATCACTACTAAGGATCTTTATTGAGACGCTTTTTAGAATAACGAATGATGTTTGTAGCCTGTTAATTGATAGTTTTGGATAAAAAGCAGATGTTTATAAATCAAGTAAAATACCATGTATTCCAGGCATTCAATCTTATGTAGAAGCTTTACTCGGGACATTAAAATTACATGGAATTAGAAGTCAACGATAGCTTATTTTTCCTGATCTGGGTCTGATATAACAATACCTCAGATTCTGGATTTCCATAATACAATGGATCCACGAAAATCTCCAGTCATTTAACTTTGGATCTAAGTTGTGGTATTTGATTTTGGGATAGGTTATGCATTTCTTTTTAATAATCAACAATAAAACGACATGTGTAATGTGCGTATATCTTTATTCGATAAAGTGCGCATCTTCTAAAGTGATGGGGTTCTATACAGAAATATGAATTACGAAATATGCTTAGAACTAAACAAAGGTGTATTTACCAATCACGTGTTACATTGCAATAGTGGATTTTGATGAATGTTCAATAAAAAGGGTATTATCTCCTGGAAATTCCTTAATCTTTTAAATGATTGAATATGTAGTTTTGTTTTTAAAAGAAAGGTGCAACATAAGTACGTAAATCTTGATTATGAACAAATCCTTACTAATAATACAGCTGAAGAGTTTGTTTGTTTGAACTCAAATATGTCAGGAACTACTAGAAAGAATCGTTTTTTTTTTGCTGAATAGTCCACTTATCGAGGATAATATCATGCCATTACTTATAGAAGTGAAACAGCCATGAAAATGTTACAAAGTCAAAGTCAAAGTAAAAATAATCTTTATTCAAATAAACTTCTTAAAAGTACTTTTGAATCGTCCAATATTTTTTCCCTACCACTCGTTCAGGACGTCTTTTGGCTGATAAGAAGAACGAGCAAGAAACTCACCAGCTCTAATATGAGTAATGACATTTACAAAAACCATGTCAGTACCAGATCAATACATTATAAATGGAGAGAAAAAAAAAAACTATGGTCTTATAATGATAACATGATAATTTAATAATAATGGCAATAAGATAATGAGTTTAGAAGTTGCTGGATCATCTCAAGTCCAAGCGTTCTTATCTGTTATATAATCGGATATCTTATAATAAGCTTTTTTAATAAGTATTTTTTTAATAGTAGATTTAAACTGCATGATATCTAATTGTTGTATTTTGCTTGGGACCTTATTGTAGAAGCGCACACAAAGACCCTTGAAAGAGTTATTAACTTTTTGCAGTCTAGTGACAGGCACCGTTAAGGCACCGGCAAAAGCGGGAGAATTATACTTTTTACTTTTTTAAAGCTTCAGTAGAGTAGCTCGGTGGCGTAGTGGATAAACGCCGCGGCCCGCGATCGTAGTCGTTAAGCAACTTTCGCAAGGGTCTGTCACGAGATGGGTGACTAAAAATCATTATCTCGAGCAACTCCGTGCTCCGGAAGGCACGTTAAGCCGTTAGTCCCGACTGCATTTGCAGTCGTAAATACCCTCCAATCCGCATTGGGCCAGCGTGGAGGGTCATGGCTCATTCTCCTTAACCATCCGTAAGGAAGGCCTGAGCCCCTGCAGTGGGGACGTAAAAGGGCTGGTGATGATGATGATGAAAGCTTCAATGCGTGCGCTGTATAAACGGTGAAAGTTACGCAATAATAATGTATACGAAATCGATCATCTTCAAAAGTTTTATAAAAAAAATTTGCGGCAGTATATGTCTATCTTACGAGTATATCTTATTCCGAAAATATTTAATAATAACATACCAGATAAACTAGAATTGTTGCCGCAAAAATTATGCAAATCACGTTAATTATAGAAGCTGCAGCCGGAGATTTCAAAGAAAACCAAAATTTACTTAATACTAATTTAATGAAATAAAATTACATTATATTTCTTAATAGCTACTCTAACTATGTGACCCGATCGATGGTTGATCTAAAAGTGAACTCTATTACTCGGATTGCCTCCACGTCCGTTGTTGCTCCACGTGCCGCTGCATCAGCAGTTTTGGTAATATTTCGGTCACTCCAACAATGGGACCGTGTGCAACGATGTTATATGTCAGCAGATTCCTTTAGTGTGTGTGACCCGACTATAACACGTTTGAAAACATGGTTAGATAATAAATGTTTGTATTTATTCGTAGTAAATGAGTTTTTAAATAAAATATAATATTGAGAAAACTTTAATTGAATGATATACATATAATAATAGTTCATAATTAAATAGATTAAGTTATAATAATTCTGAGATTATGAGAGTTGGTTAGAGTATATATCTATCAGCTAGTTGCACAGAAATCCATTAAAATTTTCATTAGTTTAAAGTGACATTACCCATACAATTTTGACATTCATTAGAGCTTAAAGGCGTCTTTGAACCTTAATGGACATTTGTGCAATTGACCGTATGTCTTCATAATCTTTGCGTTATGTTTAAAAAAGAATTATACGCATTTATCGCTTTCCATACTAATTTTAATACTTTTCTTTTACTTACGATCGCAATTCACAAATAATTGTAAAAACCACACAGGTTTTAATTGTTTGGGTCTACTAAAGAAGTTGAACTTTATTTTTTGTGCTTAAATAATATGAAATACTGTAAATAGCTTTTTTTTTAATGAACACATGTGTTTTATTTGCAAAATAATTAAAAATACCGGCTAAGGGCGAGTCAACTCGTACACGAAGGGTTTCATACCGAAAACGAAGACAAAAATTACGCTTGTTTGTACGGGAGCCCCCTTAAATATTTATTTTATACTATTTTCGTTGAAGCGGCTATAGAAATACATCAACTGTGACAATTTCAACACAGTCAAAGTCAAAATAATCTTTATTCAAATAGACTACTTAAAAGTACTTTTGAATCGTCCAACATTTTTATTCCCTACCACTCGTTCAGGACGTCTGTTGGCTGATAAGAAGAACGAGCAAGAAACTCACCAGCTCTAATAGGAGCGATGACATTCACAAAAACCATGTCATTACCAGATTAATACATTATAAATAAAGAGAGAAAAAAAACATGGTCTTATAATGATAGCATAATCATTTAATAATACCTAATGGGAAACAATTTCTTCGGCAAGTATATTCAATGATAATAATAATTCGTAATTGCTTGCCCAGGATCTCCAGAAATCCACGAGAGACTCGACATGAGTTAGATCTTATTCTCATATTATTTACGACTGTTGGTTATATGGTAGAAATGAAGGAAAGTGCCGTGGTAATCTTTGATATAGCTTGATTTTTCCTTTTTATCAATATCTCAGCGATCTTTTACTTAATAGCTTTGGTAATTAAACAATTTAATCACTTCCTTGTACTACGATAAATCAAAGTTAAAAGTCTCCATAAGATTCTCGAGTTTTATCGAGACAAATGAACAGCGATTGATTTTTATATCCATATAGGTATATAAATCCAAAAAGCACCAAACTTATCAAATCATGATAATAATCATGTTATTTATAAGTACATAGGTATAGCAAGTTTTTTGAATTTTGTTTATTAACCGTAATTATTCATAAAATTTGAGCTATATTTATATATAATTCAAGATCACTTCTTATAATTGGTGATATCTCTCTCGCGATGTATAACGCTTTGAAAATATTAGCGAACTCATAATTTACATTACACTTAATTTACTTTACGATAATGTTACCTATTATTTTTATTAGTCTAATAAAACAATCTCAATAGAGAAATAATAGTAACAATATAATTTAGAGTGAAATAAATATATTAATAGAGAGAAATCAAACAAAATATGGCGTAGTTTACAGAAAATGGATGAAAAATATAAAAGAAAACAATGTTATGTAATATGGCTGCAACAAGTAACGTTGACTAATTCGACTACTAACGACTAATCTGTTAATCTCATCATAGATTGTTCTCCATTGTTAATAACTAGGGTGTATTATAGTGATAAAAATAAAAATTCAAAATAAATCCTACGTTGACACACAAATCAACGAATTCTCGTAATTCTCTGACGTCGCACGATTAAAGTTATAAATTATCAATCTAGTTTGCATTGTCACTTAAGTATTTATTCAATTATAATTTATTACTGAGCAAAAACAATAAAGGTGTGTGCACAGATGGTATTTAAAATTGTTTGCACAAACAAATATGTCATCTAGATAGCAATATAAAAACTGGTACTCTAGATTGGTAAGATATAGTCACATTGACATCACTGGTCTTATAGGGACTAAGTTCCAAAGGCCGCAAGATGCAGTGGTTGAGAGCATTCATTTGCTTGTGTGCACTCAGCGTAAGTATAACTATTTTTCCACTAAACGCATTTGATAGTAAGCTGATATGAAGTCGATAGATTTCTCCATGCGATTTTACTAAAAACATCTATGCTTAATAAGTTTAAAAAGGTTACAGAATAACTGATATTCAATTTATAAATAATGTGTTCATCAGCCCTTTTACGTCCCCACTGCAGGGGCTCAGGCCTTCCTTATGGATAGTTAAGGAGGATGGGCCATGACCCTCCACGCTGCCCAATGCGGATTGGAGAGTATTAACGACTGCAAATGCAGCCGGGACCAACGGCTTAACGTGCCAAAGCACGGAGTAGCTCAAGATAATATTTTTTGGTCACCCATCCCTTGACCAACCCTTGCGAAAGTTGCTTAATGACAACGTTCGCGGGCCGCGGTGCATTTCCACTACGCCACCGAGCTACTTAATAAATAATGTATAGTATAATATATAATTAGTGAATTTAACTTGTAACTACACTGACATCTATTTCCTTGACATCAGTTTGATTCAAAATGCATCTAAGTTCAATATTGTATTGGTTTACTTAAAATGTATCGGATTGAATCAAATGAAGGAGTACATTTGATTCAATCCGATATCTATATATCATAATCAGGATGACAGAGGCGTATTTGGTATAATATAAGTATTTGTTATATTATTTTGTATTTTACGCCTAATAAGCGCTTATTTTCTAACTAGCTTTTGCCGGCGACTTCGTCCGCGTGATAAAGTTACTTTGAGAAGCATTTGTAACGAATATTTATTCACTATATCGTGTAAAATACCTGAAAAAAAAGTCTTATCCCTTATTTTATCCACTTACGTGTGGAATTTGTCAAAATCCTTTCTTAGGGGATGCCTACGTCATAGTAGCTTTATGCATACAAAGTCTCAGCGCGATCGGTTTAATATTGAGAAAGTTTTACACAAACTTTCATCTCCTATTTTATTCCCTTGGGGGTAGAATTGATCAAAATCCTTTCTTAGCGGATGCCTACGTCATGACATCTACCTGTATGCCAAATTTCAGCCCGATCCGTCCAGTGGTTTGGGCTGTGCGTTGATAGATTACTATGTCAGTCAGTCACCTTTGAGTTATATATATTTAGATTTCCCTTTATAGAGAGAGCTCTCTGCCATATGATTTACGATGTAAAACTAATTTGTTTCTAATGAAACGAAAAGTTTGTCAAGATTTTCAGTTATTATGAGTTTTATTTTCATGCGCACTATTCATTAAATGAAACAACTTGAAATTGTTTCAGCGCGTTTGTATTTGGATGCGTTTACACTTAAGACTTTTTTATGAGTTTATGTTAAGACTTGATGAGTTATAACTATAAAACATATATTTATTACAGATTCTGAGTGTTTACGCACACAGTTATGACAGTAAGTATTTTATGGACAATTATATGAAAAATGTTTCTAAAGCATTATTCGATTAGATATATAAATTGAAGCTTTTTATACTAATATAATCCTTATAACGATTGCGTCAGTCCAACTACTACAATAGATGATAAAAAATCTATTAATTCCATTAACAATAACTTGTACTTATACAAAACTTAATGATTTCTTTACGTGTCCAGTTTCTATAGTTTGTATAATAGAGTTACACATTTCAAATAATGTTTTCTCAAAAGACTGCAATAGTTTAAAATATTTAATATCTAATGAATCTGTTATTATAATTTTCAGCCAAAGTTTACAAATCGTCAGAACGTGAGTATAACAGCAACACTAATAACTAGTTATCATTAAAAACTTTACAAACTACCTTTACTTAATGCTTGAGATAAAATTGCCATTTATGAGATGGTTACATGATGAGTAAAATATGAAATATAATGTCTCAATTATGAAACTTAAAAGATTATTAATAATTTTGATCTGGGAAAATTATTAGATTATCTAATCGTACTTTCTAATGATATATCAACATTGATGAATAATGAATTTGTATCATATATTATTCATGTGTCATTATCAACAGCCCTTTTACATTCCCACTGCAGGGCTCAGGCCTTCCTTATGGATGGTTAAGGAGAATGGGCCATGACCCTCCACGCTGAGCCAATGCAAATTGGAGGGTATTAACTATTTCAAATGCAACCGAGACCAACGGCTTAACGTGCCTTCCGAAGCATGGAGTAGCTTGAGATAATGATTTTTTGTTCATCCATCCCGCGAACGACCCTTGTAAAAGTTGCTTAACAACAACGAACGCTACCCTGCGCTTATTCACTACGCCATCAAGCTACTGCCATTATTAAATAGCTAAATCGATGAATAATTAATCCAACAAAGATTACAATTACACCGCAAGTTTACATTGTATGAACCAAAGAATTCCTCAATTCGATTAGATTCTAATAATTTTTGGTAACATTTTTAAATTGTTTAATTTGTATTACCAGAATTATCGTCCATACAATCTCCATCTGATCAAAAATCTTCATCTTACCAATGTATAATTTACAAAAGATATTGCGAAATATAGGAGATATTCAAAATTTTGACAAAATTGGAGAAGGCACCTTCCCTTTGGAATCAAATCAAATCATACAGGGAAAACTGACTAGCACCTACCACGTGGGCTCAGTCTGAATTGGTGGGTACAACTGCAGATTCAGCCGGGTCCAACGGCTTAACGTACCTTCCGATGCATTCCGATCAGATAATAAAATTTTGGTCACTTCGTCTTATGACTGGTCATCGAGCTTAAGTTTTAAAGATCCATCATCTTTCAAGCCGTCTCATTGGATCTTTATTATTCGGCTGTATATCCCAGTTAAAGTCAACTTGAGCTTATTTTTTTGATTACTCGCTGCAACGTTGAATGGATTTTCACTGAAATCTCGTGTCAGATTGCTATTTGCTAAATATGCATTATTATCAACAGCATCCAATGGTGATTATGAATATGAATATGAAGAGGAAGAAGACGATGCACAAGCGGCAGCTTCGGAGCTTGACGAAGAAGAGGTGATCAGCACATCAGTAGGTGGTGTCACCACTACCATCGAAGAGAAATTAACTGAAAACGAAGCAGCAGTCAGCCGACGTCGCTCCAAGAAATCCAAGAGAGGTAGGTGGTTATTGAAGAAAAAAAAATAGCAAAAAATAATATCATATTATTCTTCCTATTTGACCATATGTTTGGAGTCAACATATTTTTCTGGAGCATTATTCATCTCTACTAGTTACTATTTATTGTATCAGTATCTAAATTCTTCATTGACCCAAACTCAACATTTCAGACTTCAATATTATTTCTAGAGATTTTTTGCTTCAAGTACTGTTAATATATAAACCAAATTAAGATCCTCAATACTTGTAGGTTTACGATTATTCGATTGCATTTTTTTTTGTTGCTATCCAGCAAATCCGCCTAGCTAACTAGTGATATCACCAACTGAAATATTTAGTTAGAGTGGTTTAATTATTATTTTTTTTACTTACAGGAAAACGCAACTACTACCCTCTGCCAGGTAAATATATGTTGTATATTATTTTTCTAATACAAAATATCACAAAAAATGTTAATTTTGTAATAGAAAATACACTGAATGCACACCTAAAGTTGTTAGCCTGTATCAAAATGTATGATTTGATGCAACTATGGTAGCATAGTCAAAAATTTTGTTAGATTGATTGGATTATTATAGTGTTTTTAAATATTGTAAATATTAAAAAGATACATTCACTATCGACTTCATGTAAGCACTTAATCGAAGATGTAGACGAGAGTAATACAAAAAATTAATTATAATAAAGAAAACAAATAACGCGAATATCCCAAACTTCACTTTTATTGAGTTTGCTTGGTATCGATGACGTCGTTTTCGTATCATAATAAAATGAATGTGGTAAAAAGGAAGCTATAAAGGTTTTATTAATTATAATAAAATAATGTTTATCAATGATTATATTTTATGCTCATTGCATTACCTTTTATTTCAAGATTAGATACTTAGATTTAAAGAAAACCAAATAGAAATTAAAGATATAACGCGGACAGATGTTGTTTGAGAGAGAGAGTCAAGAACATACTGGACACCGAATGTTTTTTCAGATGAGGGAAAAAAAACATAATATTGTAGCTTTAAAAGGACTTGATAATGATGGGGAACATATAGTCACTTTGGCAAAGGTGTAGACGAGAGTAATACAAAAAATAATTATATTAAAGAAAACAAATAACGCCGTCGGGAGCGATACCACATATGGATCTTATGCATTTTTTCTGGGCAATAAATACCCTTTGCGCATCTGTACCATTGGCCCAAATAAAAATTGCATAACGTAAAATTGACTCCACATAAGCGAAGTATGCTGTGAGAGCCGTACTTCTTGTCGCTACTCTCGATAATTTAAATAATGCAAATGAGAAGCTATTTATCTTATTACAAACGATTTCTGCATGTTGTTTCCAATCTAGTTTCTTGTCAATAGTTATGCCTAAGAATCTAACGTTATCAGCTTCTTCAAGCGTGCATTTTTGGTATTTAATAATCAAGTTATTAGAAATTAAATTATTAAAATTCATAAAATATGTCTTGTCTATATTTATTGTCAGGTTATAGCATTTAAGCCAGTTTATTATGGTCATTATAGTATTATTTATGTCGTTTTCGTGGTCAGAAATTTTCATATTATTATTAGTCGTCACTACCACTGATATATCAACAGCAAATAAAATACTTTTATGTGTAGTTACATTTGGTAGGTCGTTAATATACACCAAAAATTAAAGGGGTCCAAGAACACTGCCTTGTGGAACACCAATGTTTTTTACTTTTAATTCTGATTGATACTTTCGATTTATGCCCTTTGAATCCAATTTAGTTATTTCAACAGATTGCATTCTATTTTGAAAAAATATGTTTTAATCCAATTTAAAGCTGTACCTCTGATATCATTGTTATATATTTTTTTTAGTAGTTGTTCATGAGAAACGAAATCGAATGCCTTTGATATATGAAAGAAAAGAGCTGTTGTATATTTGCTTTTGTTAATGCTTTGTAATATTTCGTTAATTAAGTCAAAGGCCGCAAGTGTAGTCGACTTATTTTTTTGAAAGCCATGTTGATTATTTTTAGCACATTATATTTATTAAAAAACGATGTTAGTTTGTCATGTATAACTTTTTCATATATCTTTGACAAAACTGGTAAGTGTAATGGGCCGATATTTTTTTAAAATGGTTTTATCGCCTTTCTTATATAAAGGTTTGACAATAGAGTGTTTTAATTTATTAGGAAATATTCTCGTTTCCATTGACAAATTTATCAAAAATGATAAAATAGGGTTTATTTGTTCTTTACATATTTTTATCACATATGTACATATATTATCATAGCCTTCAGATTTTGTATTATTAATTGTTAATGATTTTGTATCATTATAACTTTTTCAACATAGCATTCATCAATGGGAGTAAGAAAGATTGAATTATTTAATATGTCATTTGAGTATTTAATTGTATTATTAATGGAATTATTATTATCAAAATTATTGGTTAAATTTATAAAATAATTATTAAAAATGTCTGAAATATTTGAAGGATCATTAATAATATTACCATTAAATTCAATTTTGTCAATATAATTATTATGATGTGTCATATCAATTTCAGTTTGTATAACTTTCCATGTGGCTTTTGATATATTTTTACTTTTTAAGTCAAACTTCTTATTCGTATTTTTTTTAGTTAAGAAAATGCATTTTTTCAATGTTCTAGAATATTCGTGACATTTGTGTTTGTTGTAATAGTTCTTTTTTTTATAATAATTATGTCTTAGTTTTCTATTTATCCTGACAACTTTTCTTGATTCCTTTTGAAATTCATCGCAGATTAGAACTTGTACTTATTTTTAATTTTACAACAGGAAAGCAAAGCCGGTAAAGCAAACAGTGTATAGTGTGTTAAGTTTTTAAGATCCATCATCTTTCAAGCCGTCTCTTTGGATCATTATTATTCGGCTGTATATCTCAGTCAAAGTCAACTTGAGTTTATATTTTGATTACTCGCTGTAACATTAAGTGGATTTTCACTGAAATCTCGTGTCAGATTGCTATTTGCTAAATATGCATTATTATCAACAGCATCCACTGGTGATTATGAATATGAATATGAAGAGGAAGAAGACGATGCACAAGCGGCAGCTTCGGAGCTTGACGAAGAAGAGGTGATCAGCACATCAGTAGGTGGTGTCACCACTACCATCGAAGAGAAATTAACTGAAAACGAATCAGCAGCCAGCCGACGTCACTCCAAGAAATCCAAGAAAGGTAGATATTTATTAAAGAAAAAAAATAATATAATATAATTCTCTCTGTCAATTTGTCCATATGTTTGGAGTCAATATATTTTTCTTGAGCATTATACATCTCGTAATGTGTTTCTTTTACACAGTTACTATTTATTGTATCAGTATCTAAATTGTTTATGCGACACAAACTCAACATTTCAGACTTCAATATTTTTTCCAGAGATTTTTGCTTCAAGTACTGTTAATATTTAAACCTAATTAAGTTCCTCAATACTCGTAGGTTTACGATTATTCTTAAATCTAAATTTTAAAATTTACCAACAAAATTTCTTTTGTGATAATGTATCTGTTATGAATAGTCTGTCGTTTACAAAAATACGTTATGGCCAATTTTTTTTTGCTATCCGGCAAATCCGCCTAGCTAACTAGCTGTCACCAACTGAAATATTTAGTTATGAGTGATTTAATTATTATTTTTTTAACTTACAGGAAAACGCAACTACTACCCTCTTCCAGGTAAATATATGTTGTATATTATTTTTCTAATACAAAATATCACAAAGAATGTTAATTTTGTAATAGAAAATACACTGAATGCACACCTAAAGTTGTTAGCCTGTATCGAAATGTATGATTTGATTATTATAGTGTTTTTTTTTTTATTATTGTAAATATTAAAAAGATACATTCACTATCGACTTCATTTAGGTACTTAATCGAAGATGTAGACGAGAGTAATACAAGGAATGAATAATATTAAAGAGTACAAATAACGCGAATATCCCAAACTTCATTTTTATTAAGTTTGCTTGGTATCGATTATATATCGTTATCGTATCACATAAAATGAATGTGGTAAAAAGGAAGCTATAAAGGTTTTATTAATAATAATAAAATAATGTTTATCAAAGATTATATTTTTATTTTTGCATTACTTCGATTTCAAGATTAGATACTTAGGTTTAAAGAAAACCAAATTGAAATTTAAGATATACTGCGGACGGTTGGAATTTGAAAGAGATAGTAAAAAAGATACTGGACATCGAATGTTTTTTAGGATGACGGAAAAAAACATATGATATTGTAGCTTTAAAAAGACTTGATAATAATGGGGAACCTATAGTAAGTATCACTCCTGACTTAAAGTTAATAAGACTTAGACGAAATACAATGCTTGTCAAGTAATTAAAAAAGGGCAGACTGTAGCAAAACAATTTTTCAAGTGCAAGAGTTGACGTTGAAGAAACATTCATTGATGGACAGGAGAAAATTTAAACAAAAGATAAAAATATAGATGCAGATGAAATTACTATGAGATGACCACCGCACGGACGCAGTCTGGATTGGTGGGTACAACTGCAGATACAATCGAGACCAATGGCTGAACGTGCTCATGGAGGAGCGTCAGATAATAAAATGTTGGTCACCTTGTCCTATGACTGGTCGTCGAGCTTAAGTTTTTTAGATCCATCATCGTTCAAGCCGTATCTTTGGATCTTTATTATTCAGCTGTATATCGCAGTTAATATCAACTTGACCTTATTTTTTTTATTACTCACGGCAACGTTGAATAGATTTTCACTGAAATCTCGTGTCAGGTTACTATTTGCTAAATATGCATTATTATCAACAGCATCCACTGGTGACTATGAATATGAAGAGGAAGATGATGAAGAAGTGGCAGCTCCGGAGCTTGACGAAGAAGAGGTGACCAGCACTTCAGTAGGTGGTGTCACCACTACCATCGAAAAGAAATTAACAGAAAACGAAGCAGCATCCAGTCGGCATCACTCCAAGAAATCCAAGAAAGGTAGGTATTGATTGGAAAAAAGAATTGAGCAGAAAAATAATATCATATTATTCTTCCTGTTTATTTGTCCATATGTTTGGAGTCAATATATTTTTTTGGAGCATTATTCATTTCGTAATGGGGTTTTTTAGACAGGTACTATTTATTGCATCCGTATCTAAATTGTTTATGCGAAACAAACTCAAAATTTCAGACTTCAATATTCTTTCCAGAGATTTTTTGCTTCAAGTACTGTTAACATATAAACCAAATTAAGTTCCTCAATACTCGTAGGCTTACGATTATTCTTAAATCTAAAGTATAAAATTTACCAACAAAATTTCTTTTGTGATAATGTATCTGTAATAAATCAATAGTCTGTCGTTTACAAAAATACGTTATGGTCAATTTTTTCTTTTGCTATCCAGCAAATCCACCTTGCACCTAATTAGCAAGCTAGTGATATCACCAACTGAAATATTTTATTAGAGTGATTTAATTATTATTTGTTTAACTTACAGGAAAACGCAACTACTACCCTCTGCCAGGTAAATATACGTTTAATATTATTTCTCTAATACAAAATATCATAAAGATAATGTTGATTTTGTAATAGAAAATATACTGAATTCACACCTAACATTGCCTAGCACAAGCATAGTCAAAAAAATTGTTAGATTGATTGGGTTACAATAGTGGTTTAAATAATATCTTGTAAACATTAAAATGGTGCAATCACTAAATATTACATCTAGGTACTTAATAGAAGTAAAAGATAGTAAAACAAAGACTGAAAACATTAAAGGATAGAAATAACACGAATATTCCAAACGGTACTTTTATTAAGTTTGCTTTATATCGATGATATATCGTTACCTTATCATATTAAAATGAATGTGGTAAAAAGGAAGCTATAAAGGTTTTATTCAATATAATAAAATAATGTTTATCAATTATTATATTTTCATGCTTGTTGCATTACCTCGATTTTAAGATTGGATTGATTTAAAGAAAACCAAATAGAGGTTAAAGAATGTGTACGGATAGAATTTGAGAGAGAGGGTAAAGAACATACTGAACACAAAATGTTTTTGCAGATGATGGAAACAAAACATATGATATTGTAGCCTTAAAAAGACTTGATGATAATGGAGAACCTATAGTCACTTTGGCAATGGTACCCCATGGTAAGTACCAGTCCTGGCTCAAAGTCAACAAGACTGATGAAATACAATGTTTGTCAAGCAATTAAATAAGGGCAGACTGTAGAAAAAGACAAATATGTCAAGTGCAAGCGTTTACGTTGAAGAAATCTTCATTGACGGATTACACGAGAAAACTTAAACAAAAGATAAAAATATAAATGCAGATAAAATTATAAAGTAAAAAAATTATAAGAGCGAAGTATTAAATACTTTTTTCTCTTTCTTTGCAGGTACGATCCCAGAAAATATTATTACATCTACAGGTAATGATCCAGATTATGAGTACGACGATGAAGATTATCCGAGTGAGTAATGAAGTCATAATTTACTATCTTATATTTATACATTTCAAGCAGTAGAGAAATCTGTATGCAGTCTAGGTGCTATACTCTAAAGATCAGTTTTCGATATATTGCAAACTTCTCAGTTAGGACAAATTAAACTCGATATACCTATAAAAATACACAAGTTTAAGTATTGCAGACGATGAAACTGTTCGTAATATATCGAAAATAGATTTTAAGAGTACAAGGCTCGTCAGCAGTCTTCAAAACAGGTAAGTGGCTGTAGTATATAAATGGTGGACTCCCTAAAAATACTTTTTGAGATTAGAAAAATTGTATATTTTATTGTATTAAATTGATTTCTCATTAGTACAATGAGTAAGCTGGGTGTTAACATAACTATTCTCTTTAACTTATTCCTCCAATCTAAATAATTGTATGACTGACTCAATATTTGGGACTAAATTCATAGCCTCTTTTTACATATATTAATAAAATAAATATCAAAAATGTGGACTCAGATTAACATAATTTATTTCACTTTAATTGAGGTGTTGTTGTGTCAAGATTCACTAAAGACGGATATAATTAATATAGCGAGTGATTGTCTTCTATATTAGTACTACTTTTATCTTCTTTTTACCTTCTACAGTAACAATAGAACGGAATCTTTTTTAAAACCATCATCACGATTTTTTTTCGAAGCTGTCATCAAGCTTTGTTACTTAACAAATTATAAATTTAACAAATTTTCTCTCATCTAGCACCAATTATTCCACCACCGCTACCGCCGATCAGTCCACCGTGGATACCGCCTCCGTCATCTGGACTTCCAGGTCAACCACCTCAGCTCCCATGGCAACCATGGCAATGGCCATTCTACCCGTGGGGCCACTCATGGGGAGGTCGACCGGGCGGACCAGGAGGCTATATCATAGAACGTAAGGCAACTTTTACTTAAAGAACGTAAGGAAACCTCAAACCATGAAGATTCCATATCAATTCAAGGAACCTATTATAAAAATCGGCAATTTCATACTTTAACCCCTAATATAACCAGTTTCCTGTCATTTTAGTTACACTAAACGCGTCCGATAGTAACCAGATGAAATTCGAGATAAACTAGTCTCAAATGAATGGTTTTGTTTCAGGTGAATCATCATCGAGTAGTAGGGAATCCAAATCCCATCATCACCATCATAGTAAGTAACAAGTTATGGTAACAAGCATCGTATATAACAGCAAATGTAATAAAAAAACTGGACCTAGAAAAGATCCTTGTTGTACTAAGAAACTAATAATATTGTAACAATAATATAGTAAAATTCTATTTGTCAATAAATTAACTTAAATCGAATCTACATCACACAGGGAAACATCATCATAATAAGCAACAATACCCGCAACCGCCGATCTATCCATCATACCCGCCGTTCCCGCAATATCCTGGACAAAATCTACAACAACCGCAGTGGCCACAAAATCCACAACTCCAGTGGCCGCAGCAACCGCAGTGGCCGCAGCAGCCTCAGCCAGGTTAGCTTATTTGATAATAATAACAACTATGGGTGATAAATACGAAACAATCAATCCTTGGAAATTATTTTTAATTGGTAATAATGGAACCAAAAGTTCATTAGCCTTCAACTTGGTGCATCAAAATGTTCAAGGAATATTGAGTAAAGAATTTTTTTAATAAATAATAAATCTTTATTTGGTGCAGTAAAATAGGTACAAGATCAATTGCACGTTAATAGCTGCAATTAGTCCAAGACTGTGTTGCAGATATTAGCGCCCACCTCGAACAGATAACAAACAAAAGCCACAAATAAAGCAAGACACAAAAATAAGAACGACAAATAATTATACAATGCACTTAAATAATGAGAGATTCCACGTCATAGTAATCTAGTTCTAGTAACCATTCATTTAAAATTTGTTTACAAGCTCGAAATGGAAGACTATATATATTTAATTTATAATTAACCTTATTATATAAAATGGAGCTGAAGTAGTAGTAATGATATTTTATTAATTTAATTCGACACCTTTCTATGGTACAAACTCTGTCTGACCGTCTAGTGTTTAAAACAAAATTTGGATCATAGGGACAACTTCTGTGTTTACGCAGTAATAGTTGAAACACAAACAATTTACGAACGGAGAGTACTTTCCATAATTCGTGTAGATCTTTGGTAGGGAATCGGACAGGTTTAAAAGCCATAACTTTTAGTACAGCCCTTTGTGCTCGTTCCAACTGCAATAAATGTTTCTTTCTAGCAGAACCCCAAAGAATTATACAGTAGGTCAAAATCGACTGGGCTAAAGAAAAGTAAACAGTCTTTAGAGTAGCCCCGTTAGCACTACCCCTAAGTTTACAGAAAACAAAAATTAGTTTCCTAATCTAAAATTAGAAATATAATTATTCATGAACTGTAATAATATTGATATTTTCTGTATTACGGAACATTGGTTAACAAGTCATGATTGCATTTTTAACTTCAATAATCATCTGGTTGGTAGGTCGTTCATTCAGAAAAACGCAATGCGAGCTGACGCACTAATTTTAATTAAATAAAAAGTTTAAAGTTAATGAACGTACTGATATAGTGAGCCTATCGGTTGAGGAAATAAAAGAGATTGCCTGCATAGAGCTGGAACAGCTTATTGTACTGAGCGTATATAGACCTCCTTCGAGTTTAGTTTCTCATTATGATCTTTTTGAAATAATTATGGATGAAGCTTTAAAAAAGATATGTAGCAAAGGCAAACGATTAGTGATTGATGGTGATTCTAACGTTGATTTATTAGGACACTCCAATTCATGTACAAGACTTGTAAAACTATTTATGTCCTATAATCTTGCACCTATGTTGATGAACCCACTAGAGTAACTGCTACTTCGTCCACATGTATTGACAACATTTTTACAGATCTGATACCACTTTCAAAACAGATAATTAAACAACTACCTTCAGATCATTTTGGACAAATAGTTAGCTTTCCGCATAAACGTAAGTTTGTAACTAGGAGAGACATCACAGTTTTGTCAAAAAGTACGAGTCGCTTAGAACGTTTTAAAAAACAATTAGATGGTAAATTATGTAATTTAAAACATAAAAGTAATCCCAATGATTTGTACAAAGATTTTTTTGATGTTTATTGTACAGAGTTCAATAACATTTTTGTCCCAAAAAAAATAATTTCAGTGTGTGGCTACACCAGGAATCTATAAAAGCAGAAAAAGGCCTATGAATTATATGATGAACGTAATTATAACACAAGTGAGGACTTCAAAGAATATATACAAAATTACTCTAAATTATTCAAAATGGTGTGTCGTTTGGCGAAATGTAATTATTTAAATGCAAAAATAAAAATAGTAAAGATAAAGTTAAAATGACGTGGAATATCATAAATAATGAAACTGGAAGAGAAAAATCCCGTAATACAAATTTTAAATTAAATATTGATAATAAAAAAGTAACATCAGATCAAGAAGTTGCTACAATATTTGAAAATTTATTTAATGAAATTCCAGTCTTAATTGCTAAATCTTTGAATGCCTCTTCCACTGCTGCTGAGTCTATTTTAAAGGCAAATTTAAATAGTTATAATAGCCAATTTAATTTTCAAGCGATTGATTTTAAAGATATAATAAAATCTTTTAATCAGCTTAAGAAAAAGAAAACCGCTGATTTTAACGCCTGGGTGGATTCATATGACACGTAAGGTGTTTTCTGCGATCTATTTAAAGCATTTGATTATGTTTTTCATGTAACATTAATAAGGAAACTTCATTATTATCAATTTAGAGATAACTCATTAGATTTTATTGCCTCATATTTGACTGACAGAGTATAGAAGGTTGATATCAATGTCAAAAGATCCCCTGGATCGAAAGTTAAGATGAGTACTCCGCGGGGCTCAATACTAGGTCTTTTCTTGTTTTTAATTTACATATTAAAAACAAGAAAAGACCTACATAGACATTATGTAGCTCGGTGGCTTAGTGGATAAGCGCCGCGGCCTGCGATCGTTGTCGTTAAGCAACTTTCGCAAGGGTCGGTCACGGGATGGGTAACCAAAAAATTATTATCCCGAGCTACTCCGTGCTTCGGAAGGCACGTTAAGCCGTTGGTCCCGGCTGCATTTGCAGTCGTTAATACCCTCCAATCCGCATTGGGTCAGCGTGGAGGGTCATGGCCCATCCTCCTTAACCATCCATAAGGAAGGCCTGAACCCCTGCAGTGGGGACGTAAAAGGGCTGATGATGATGATGATGAATTTACATAAATGACTTACCTTATTTCGTATGGGATAATCACGACATAGTTTTGTTTGAGGATGACACTTTACTTTTATTTAAAATTAAAAAATGGGCTACCTCTAAATGACGTTGTAAACAATTCTATTGCTAAAGTAGTACATTGGTTTAATGTAAATAATCTTCTCCTTAATGAAGGAAAAACGAAATGTATAAAATTTGTACTGCCTAATGTTAAAAAAGTACATATAAATGTGAATATAAATGTGAATATAAAAGATAAGAACATGGGCCTTGTGGATACTACATTATTTATAGGAATAACATTAGATTCTAAACTACAGTGTTGCCCACATATTGATATATTGTCAAGTAGACTTAACTCTGCAGCATATGCCGTAATGAAGATACATAGGTTAACTGACATAGATACTGCCAGATTAGTATACTTCAGTTACTTTCATAGTGTTATGTCGTACGGTATCCTATTGTGGGGAAATGCTGCCGACATACAAACAATTTTTGTGCTTCAGAAAAGAGCAATTCGATCAATTTATAATCTTAGGATTAGGGACTCTTCAAGGGAGAAATTTAAGGAAATAGACATTATGACTGTTGCTTCTCAATACATATACGAGAACTTAATGTACGTTCGTAAAAATATTAGTTTGTTTTCTATAAAAAGTGATGTACACAATTTTAATACAAGAAATAAAAATAAATTAACGGTGCCTGTCACTAGGCTGCAAAAAGTTAATAACTCATTCAAGGGTCTTTGTGTGCGCTTCTACAATAAGGTTCCAAGCAAAATACAACAATTAGATATCATGCAGTTTAAATCTACTATTAAAAAAAAACTTATTAAAAAAGCTTATTATAAGGTATCCGATATATAACAGATAAGAACGCTTGGACTTGAGATGATCCAGCGACTGGATAGGTGATTACTTCTAAACTCATTATATTTTTTCCATTATTATTAAATGATTATGTTATCGTTAAAAGACCATCGCTTTTTTTTCTCTCTGTTTATAATGTATTGATCTGGTAATGACATGGTTTTTGTGAATGTTATTACTCCTATAAGAGCTGGTGAGTTCCTTGCTCGTTCTTTTTATCACCTAAAAGACGTCCTGAACGAGTGGTAGAGAAAATTTGTTGGACGATTCAAAAGTACTTCTAAGAAGTCCATTTGTATAAGGATTATTTTAACTTTGGCTTTGATTAAATATTTTACTTCATTTACCAGAACCAGGAAGTGGACCACACAAACCGCACCGGCAACATGGTCAACCCAGGCCTCATCGTCCAGGACATCAACATCGTCCTGGACACCAACAACCACCACCTGAGCCGCAACAACCACAGGAGCCACAGGAACCGCAACAACCACAGGAGCCACAGCAACCGCAGCATCCGCAACTGCCACAACCTCCACAGCAACCAGGTTAGTCAGATATAACAGATAACGGTTCAATTCAAATTTAATATCATTGTTTTTGATAGAAGATTATTTCAATACGGCATTTAAGGAAACAATGAGATTTTCCTAAAAACTATACAAAATCGGTATATATCAATTAGATTGTTAAATATGCCATTATAATACAATTTTTTTTTTTGAAAATCATAAAGTTTTGCTTGTATTGGATGGGTTCTGAAAATAAGACAATGCTCGTAACACATTTCTTCTATGATATGAAAACTGTTGCGTTAGTCTTACTGCTTCAAAATATAATGCTGTTTCTAATATCAACAGTCGCGTATCGCGCAGCATTGCGTTCCGTTCTTACTGTGAATTAAAATCTTACTCCGTCCTAATATAATTCGAGAGATAAAGTTAGTACTTTTTTAAAATTATTGACCGCCTCAAACAAATTGCCTATGACATAAGAGATAACGTCCAGTTTATACGCGTTGTCTTATTTTGGTCAGATAATTGTTAAAATGTGGTACTGCGATTAATCCGCAATTTATCAAATTAGTGACGTAATAATAACACTCAAAGAACGATCTACTTGACTGAATATAATTAGAAAGATTTATCACGCTTCAAATTTGACGTAATAAAATAATTTGTATTTGTCAAGGGTAACAATGAAAACATATCAAAATAAAATGAATTTATTATTCATTAATAATAAACTTACGAACAACAAATAATTAAAAGGTCCTGCTTTAAATATGCTTGCCAGTTACAAATAAACACAATATTATTTTTGTGAAAAAAGTCTTAACATTGTTAAAGGTAAGGGACCAGGAAGTGGACCACACAAACCGCACCGGCAACATGGTCAACCCAGACCTCATCGTCCAAGACATCCACATCATCCTGGACACCAACAACCACCACAGGAGCCACAAAAACCACAAGGGCCGCAACAACCACAGGGGCCGAAACAACCACAGGAGCCGCAACAACCACAGGGGCCGAAACAACCACAGGCGCCGAAACAACCACAAGGGCCGAAACAACCACAGGGGCCGAAACAACCACAGGAGCCGCAACAACCACAGGAGCCACAGGAACCGCAACAACCACAGGAGCCACAGCAACCAGGTTAGTCAGATATAACAGATAACGGTTCAATTCAAATTTAATATCATTGTTTTTGATAGAAGATCATTTCAAAACGGCATTTAAGGAAACAATGAGCTTTCCCTAAAAACTATGCAAAATCGGAATATATCAATTAGATTGATAAATGTATTCCGTTATAATACAATAATTGTTTTAGAAAATCATAAAGTTTTTTGCTTGTATTGGATGTATGTACCGCATGTGGTATTGCGGTTAATCCGCTATTAATCAAATTTGTGACACAATAATAACACTCAAAGAACGATCTACTTGACAGAATATAATTATAAAGATTTATCACGCTTCAAATTTGACGTAATAAAATAACTTGTATTTGTCAAGGGTAACAATGAAAACATATCAAAATAAAATGAATTTATTATTCATTAATAATAAACTTACGAACAACAAATAATTAAAAGGTCCTGCTTTAAATATGCTTGCCAGTTACAAATAAACACAATATTATTTTTGTGAAAAAAGTCTTAACATTGTTAAAGGTAAGGGACCAGGAAGTGGACCACACAAACCGCACCGGCAACATGGTCAACCCAGACCTCATCGTCCAAGACATCCACATCATCCTGGACACCAACAACCACCACAGGAGCCACAAAAACCACAAGGGCCGCAACAACCACAGGGGCCGAAACAACCACAGGAGCCGCAACAACCACAGGGGCCGAAACAACCACAGGCGCCGAAACAACCACAAGGGCCGAAACAACCACAGGGGCCGAAACAACCACAGGAGCCGCAACAACCACAGGAGCCACAGGAACCGCAACAACCACAGGAGCCACAGCAACCAGGTTAGTCAGATATAACAGATAACGGTTCAATTCAAATTTAATATCATTGTTTTTGATAGAAGATCATTTCAAAACGGCATTTAAGGAAACAATGAGCTTTCCCTAAAAACTATGCAAAATCGGAATATATCAATTAGATTGATAAATGTATTCCGTTATAATACAATAATTGTTTTAGAAAATCATAAAGTTTTTTGCTTGTATTGGATGTATGTACCGCATGTGGTATTGCGGTTAATCCGCTATTAATCAAATTTGTGACACAATAATAACACTCAAAGAACGATCTACTTGACAGAATATAATTATAAAGATTTATCACGCTTCAAATTTGACGTAATAAAATAACTTGTATTTGTCAAGGGTAACAATGAAAACATATCAAAATAAAATGAATTTATTATTCATTAATAATAAACTTACGAACAACAAATAATTAAAAGGTCCTGCTTTAAATATGCTTGCCAGTTACAAATAAACAATATATTTTTTGTGAAAAATGTCTTAACATTGTTAAAGATAAGGGAACAGGAAGTGGACCTCACAAACCGCACCACCACCATGGTCAACACAGACCTCATCGTCCAAGACATCCATATCATCCAGGACACCAGAAACCACCACAGGAGCCGCAACAACCACAGGGGCCGCAACAACCACAGGGGCCGCAACAACCACAGGAGCCGCAACAACCACAGGGGCCGAAACAACCACAGGAGCCGCAACAACCACAGGGGCCGAAACAACCACACGGGCCGCAACAACCACAGGAGCCACAGGAACCGCAACAACCACGGGAGCCACAGCAACCGCAGCATCCGCAACTGCCACAACCTCCACAGCAACCAGGTTAGTCAGATATAACAGATAACGGTTCAATTCAAATTTAATATCATTGTTTTTGATAGAAAATCATTTCAAAACGGCATTTAAGGAAACAATGAGCTTTCCCTAAAAACTATGCAAAATCGGAATATATCAATTAGATTGATAAATGTATTCCGTTATAATACAATAATTGTTTTAGAAAATCATAAAGTTTTGCTTGTATTGGATGTATGTACCGCATGTGGTATTGCGGTTAATCCGCTATTTATCAAATTTGTGACACAATAATAACACTCAAAGAACGATCTACTTGACAGAATATAATTATAAAGATTTATCACGCTTCAAATTTGACGTAATAAAATAACTTGTATTTGTCAAGGGTAACAATGAAAACATATCAAAATAAAATGAATTTATTATTCATTAATAATAAACTTACGAACAACAAATAATTAAAAGGTCCTGTTTTAAATATGCTTGCCAGTTACAAATAATCAATATAATTTTCGTGAAAAATGTCTTAACATTGTTAAAGGTAAGGGAACAGGAAGTGGACCTCACAAACCGCACCACCACCATGGTCAACAAAGACCTCATCGTCCAAGACATCCATATCATCCTCGACACCAGAAACCACCACAGGAGCCGCAACAACCTCAGGGGCCGCAACAACCACAGGGGCCGAAACAACCACAGGAGCCGCAACAACCACAGGGGCCGAAACAACCACACTTGCCGCAACAACCACAGGGGCCGAAACAACCACAGGAGCCGCAACAACCACAGGAGCCGCAACAACCACAGGAGCCACAGGAACCGCAACAACCACAGGAGCCACAGCAACCGCAGCATCCGCAACTGCCACAACCTCCACAGCAACCAGGTTAGTCAGATATTACAGATAACGGTTCAATTCAAATTTAATATCATTGTTTTTGATAGAAAATCATTTCAAAACGGCATTTAAGGAAACAATGAGCTTTCCCTAAAAACTATACAAAATCGGTATATATCAATTAGATTGATAATAGACTGAATATAATTATAAAGTTTTATCACGCTTCAAATTTGACGTACAAAAATAACTTGTAATTGTCAAGGGCGACAATGAAAACATATCAAAAGTACCAATAACATTAATTTATTGTTCATTTATAATAAACTTCCGAACAACAAATAATTCAAAGGTCCTGCTTTAAATATGCTTGCCAGTTATAAATAAACAATATAATTTTGGTAAACAATATTTCAACATTTTTATAGGCAAGGGACCAGGAAGGCAACATGGTCAACCCAGACCTCATCGTCCAAGACATCCACATCATCCTGGACACCAACAACCACCACAGGAGCCGCAAAAACCACAGGGGCCGCGACAACCACAGGGGCCGAAACAACCACAGGAGCCGCAACAACCACAGGCACCGAAACAACCACAGGAGCCGCAACAACCACAGGGGCCGAAACAACCACTAGGGCCGAAACAACCTCAGGAGCCGCAACAACCACAGGGGCCGAAACAACCACAGGAGCCGCAACAACCACAGGAGCCACAGCATCCAGGTTAGTCAGATATAACAGATAACGGTTCAATTCAACTTTAATATCATTGTTTTTGATAGAACATCATTTCAAAACGACATTTAAGGAAACAATGAGCTTTCCCTAAAAACTATACAAAATCGGTATATATCAATTAGATTGATAAATGTGTGCCGTTATAATACAATAATTGTTTTAGAAAATCATAAAATTTTGCTTGTGTTGGATGCGTTCTGCAAATAAGACAATGCTCCTAACACATTTTTTTACGCTGTGAAAACTGTTGTGTTAGTCTTACTGCTTCAAGATGTAATGCCGTTTCTAATATCAACAGTCGCGTATCGCGCAGCATCACGTCGCGTTCTTACTGTGAATCAAAATCTTACTCCGTCCTAATATAAATCGAGAGATAAAGTTAGTACTTTTTTAAAATCATTGGTCGTCTAAAACAAATTGACTATGACATAAGGGGCTGTCCATTAATCACGTGAGGCTCGAAAGGGGTCCATAAAAATGTCACGAAATATCACAAGGGGGTGGGGGGGGGTGAAGTAACATATCACGTGTATTTATTTTTTCGACAAACGCGCGATACTCAACCGAAAAGCGGCGTAAATAAGTGTAATAAAATTATTTTTTCGTCAAACGTTCATTAAATAATAATATTTATAAAGTTTTTCGCATTCCTTTCATTATTTTTGTCAATCAAAAACAACCTGCAAGTCCTGTAATCTTTCTGTCTACCTCTAGACATTATTGTAGTCTTTAATTGTCTATAATACAATTAGAAAATTAAGATTCATTGTAAGTACTAAAAATACACGTGATATATGGGGAGGGGGGGGGGGGTAGTCTTAAACCTCACTATGTATCACTATGGGGGATGGGAGGTTTAAAAATGCCAAAAAAAACATCACGTGATTAATGGACAGCCCCTAAGAGATAACGTCCAGTTTATTTGATATCAAAATAAAATGAATTTATTATTTATTAATAATACACTTACGAACAACAAATAATTCAAAGGTCGTGTTTTAAATATGCTTGCCAGTTACAAATAAACGATATAATTTTTGTGAAAAATATCTAAACATTGTTAAAGGTAAGGGAACAGGAAGTGGACCTCACAAACCGCACCGGCACCATGGTCAACCGAGACCTCATCGTCCAAGACATCCACATCATCCTGGACACCAAAAACCACCACAGGAGCCCCAACAACCACAGGGGCCACAACAACCACAGGGGCCGAAACAACCACAGGAGCCGCAACAACCACAGGGGCCGAAACAACCACAGGAGCCGCAACAACCACAGGGGCCGAAACAACCACAGGAGCCGCAACAACCACAGGGGCCGAAACAACCACACGGGCCGCAACAACCACAGGGTCCGAAACAACCACAGGAGCCGCAACAACCACAGGAGCCACAGGAACCGCAACAACCACAGGAGCCACAGGAACCGCAACAACCACAGGAGCCACATCAACCGCAGCATCCGCAACTGCCACAACCTCCACAGCAACCAGGTAAGTCAGATATAATAACAGAAAACGGTTCAATTCAATTAAATATTGTTGTTTTTGATAGAAGATCATTTTAAAAAGGCATTTAGGAGACCATGAGTAATCCCTAAAAACTATACAAAATCGGTATATATCAATTATATTGATAATAGACTGAATATAATTATAAAAATTTATCACGCATCAAATTTGACGTACTAAAATAATTTGTAATTGTCAAGGACGACATTGAAAACATATCAAAAGAATCAATAAAATTAATTTAGTGTTCATTTATAATAAACTTACGAACAACAAATAATTAAAAGGTCCTGCTTTAAATATGCTTGCCAGTTACAAATAAACAATATAATTTTTGTGAAAAATGTCTTAACATTGTTAAAGGTAAGGGAACAGGAAGTGGACCTCACAAACCGCACCACCACCATGGTCAACACAGACCTCATCGTCCAAGACATCCATATCATCCTGGACACCAGAAACCACCACAGGAGCCGCGACAACCACAGAGGCCGAAACAACCACAGGAGCCACAAAAACCACAGAGGCCGAAACAACCACAGGAGCCGCAACAACCACAGGGGCCGAAACAACCACAGGAGCCACGACAACCACTGAGGCCGAAACAACCACAGGGGCCGAAACAACCACTGAGGCCGAAACAACCACAGGGGCCGAAACAACCACAGGAACCGCAACAACCAAAGGGGCCGAAACAACCACAGGAGCCGCAACAACCACAGGGGCCGAAACAACCACAGGAGCCGCAACAACCACTGGGGCCGAAACAACCACAGGAGCCGCAACAACCGAAGGGGCCGAAACAACCACAGGAGCCGCGACAACCACAGAGGCCGAAACAACCACGGGGGCCGAAACAACCACAGGAGCCGCAACAACCACAGGGTCCGAAACAACCACAGGAGCCGCAACAACCACAGGGGCCGACACAACCACAGGAGCCACAACAACCACAGGGGCCGAAACAACCACGGGAGCCGCGACAACCACAGGGGCCGAAACAACCACAGGGGCCGAAACAACCACAGGAGCCGCAACAACCACAGGGTCCGAAACAACCACAGGAGCCGCAACAACCACAGGGGCCGAAACAACCACAGGGGCCGAAACAACCACAGGGGCCGAAACAACCACAGGAGCCGCAACAATCACAGGGGCCGAAACAACCACAGGAGCCGCGACATCCACAGAGGCCGAAACAACCACAGGAGCCACGACAACCACTGAGGCCAAAACAACCAAAGGGGCCGAAACAACCACAGGAACCGCAACAACCAAAGGGGCCGAAACAACCACAGGAGCCGCAACAACCACAGGGGCCGAAACAACCACAGGAGCCGCAACAACCACTGGGGCCGAAACAACCACAGGAGCCGCAACAACCGAAGGGGCCAAAACAACCACAGGAGCCGCGACAACCACAGAGGCCGAAACAACCACAGGAGCCGCAACAACCACAGGGGCCGAAACAACCACAGGAGCCGCGACAACCACAGAGGCCGAAACAACCACAGGAGCCACAACAACCACAGAGGCCGAAACAACCACAGGAGCCGCACCAACCACAGGGGCCGAAACAACCACAGGAGCCGCGACAACCACAGAGGCCGAAACAACCACAGGAGCCACGACAACCACTGAGGCCGAAACAACCACAGGGGCCGAAACAACCACAGGAACCGCAACAACCAAAGGGGCCGAAACAACCACAGGAGCCGCAACAACCACAGGGGCCGAAACAACCACAGGAGCCGCAACAACCACTGGAGCCGAAACAACCACAGGAGCCGCAACAACCACAGGGGCCGAAACAACCACAGGAGCCGCAACAACCACTGGGGCCGAAACAACCACAGGAGCCGCAACAACCGAAGGGGCTAAAACAACCACAGGAGCCGCGACAACCACAGAGGCCGAAACAACCACAGGAGCCGCAACAACCACAGGGGCCGAAACAACCACAGGAGCCGCGACAACCACAGAGGCCGAAACAACCACAGGAGCCACAACAACCACAGAGGCCGAAACAACCACAGGAGCCGCACCAACCACAGGGGCCGAAACAACCACAGGAGCCGCGACAACCACAGAGGCCGAAACAACCACAGGAGCCACGACAACCACTGAGGCCGAAACAACCACAGGGGCCGAAACAACCACAGGAACCGCAACAACCAAAGGGGCCGAAACAACCACAGGAGCCGCAACAACCACAGGGGCCGAAACAACCACAGGAGCCGCAACAACCACTGGAGCCGAAACAACCACAGGAGCCGCAACAACCGAAGGGGCCAAAACAACCACAGGAGCCGCGACAACCACAGAGGCCGAAACAACCACGGGGGCCGAAACAACCACAGGAGCCGCAACAACCACAGGGTCCGAAACAACCACAGGGGCCGAAACAACCACAGGAGCCGCAACAACCACAGGGGCCGAAACAACCACAGGAGCCGCAACAACCACAGGGGCCGACACAACCACAGGAGCCACAACAACCACAGGGGCCGAAACAACCACGGGAGCCGCGACAACCACAGGGGCCGAAACAACCACAGGGGCCGAAACAACCACAGGAGCCGCAACAACCACAGGGGCCGAAACAACCACAGGAGCCACCGCAACTGCCACAACCTCCACAGCAACCAGGTTAGTCAGATATAACAGATAACGGTTTAATTCAAATTTAATATCATTGTTTTTGATAGAAGATCATTTCAAAACGGCATTTAAGGAAACAATGAGCTTTCCCTTAAAACTATACAAAATCGGTATATATCAATTATATTGATAAAGGTATGTCGTTATAATACAATAATTGTTTCAGAAAATCATAAAGTTGATTGTATTGGATGCATTTTGCAAATAACACAATGCTCCTAACACATTTCTTCTACGGTGTGAAAACTGTTGCGTTAGTCTTACTGCTTCAAAATATAATGCTGTCTCTAATATCAACAGTCGCGTATCGCGCAGCATTGCGTCCCGTTCTTACTGTGAAATAAATCTTACTCCGTCCTAATATAAATCGAGAGTTAAAGTTAGTACTTTTTTAAAATTATTGACCGCCTCAAACAAATAGACTATGACATAAGAGATAACGTCCAGTTTATACGCGTTGTCTTATTTTGGTCAGATTATTATTAAAATGTGGTATTTCGGTTAATCCGCAATTTATCAAATTTGTGACACAATAATAACTCTCCAAGAACGATCTACTTGACAGAATATAATTATAAAGATTTATCACGCTTCAAATTTGACGTAATAAAATAACTTGTATTTGTCAAGGGTAACAATGAAAACATATCAAAATAAAATGATTTTAATATTCATTAATAATAAACTTACGAACAACAAATAATTAAAAGGTCCTGCTTTAAATATGCTTGCCAGTTACAAATAAACAATATAATTTTTGTGAAAAATGTCTTAACATTGTTAAAGGTAAGGGAACAGGTAGTAGACCTCACAAACCACACCACCACCATGGTCAACACAGACCTCATCGTCCAAGACATCCATATCATCCTGGACACCAGAAACCACCACAGGAGCCACAACAACCACAGAGGCCGAAACAACCACAAGAGCCGCAACAACCACAGGGGCCGAAACAACCACAGGAGCCGCGACAACCACAGAGGCCGAAACAACCACAGGAGCCACAACAACCACAGAGGCCGAAACAACCACAGGAGCCGCAACAACCACAGGGGCCGAAACAACCACAGGAGCCGCGACATCCACAGAGGCCGAAACAACCACAGGAGCCACGACAACCACTGAGGCCGAAACAACCAAAGGGGCCGAAACAACCACAGGAACCGCAACAACCAAAGGGGCCGAAACAACCACAGGAGCCGCAACAACCACAGGGGCCGAAACAACCACAGGAGCCACAACAACCACAGAGGCCGAAACAACCACAGGAGCCGCAACAACCACAGGGGCCGAAACAACCACAGGAGCCGCGACAACCACTGAGGCCGAAACAACCACGGGGGCCGAAACAACCACAGGAGCCGCAACAACCACAGGGTCCGAAACAACCACAGGAGCTGCAACAACCACAGGGGCCGAAACAACCACAGGAGCCGAAACAACCACAGGAGCCGAAACAACCACAGGAGCCGCAACAACCACAGGAGCCGCGACAACCACAGAGGCCGAAACAACCACGGGGGCCGAAACAACCACAGGAGCCGCAACAACCACAGGGGCCGAAACAACCACAGGAGCCGCGACAACCACAGAGGCCGAAACAACCACAGGAGCCACAACAACCACAGAGGCCGAAACAACCACAGGAGCCGCGACAACCACAGAGGCCGAAACAACCACAGGAGCCGCGACAACCACAGAGGCCGAAACAACCACAGGAGCCACGACAACCACTGAGGCCGAAACAACCACAGGGGCCGAAACAACCACAGGAACCGCAACAACCAAAGGGGCCGAAACAACCACAGGAGCCGAAACAACCACAGGAGCCGCAACAACCACAGGGGCCGAAACAACCACAGGAGCCGCAACAACCACTGGGGCCGAAACAACCACGGGGGCCGAAACAACCACAGGAGCCGCAACAACCACAGGGTCCGAAACAACCACAGGGGCCGAAACAACCACAGGAGCCGCAACAACCACAGGGGCCGAAACAACCACGGGAGCCGCGACAACCACAGGGGCCGAAACATCCACAGGGGCCGAAACAACCACAGGAGCCGCAACAACCACAGGGTCCGAAACAACCACAGGAGCCGCAACAACCACAGGGGCCGAAACAACCACAGAGGCCGAAACAACCACAGGAGCCACGAAAACCACAGAGGCCGAAACAACCACAGGGGCCGAAACAACCACAGGAGCCGCAACAACCACAGGTGCCGAAACAACCACAGAAGCCGCAACAACCACAGGGGCCGAAACAACCACAGGAGCCGCAACAACCACAGGGGCCGAAACAACCACAGGAGCCGCAACAACCACAGGGGCCGAAACAACCACAGGAGCCACAGCAACCGCAGCCTCCGCAACTGCCACAACCTCCACAGCAACCAGGTTAGTCAGATATAACAGATAACGGTTTAATTCAAATTTAATATCATTGTTTTTGATAGAAGATCATTTCAAAACGGCATTTAGGGAAAAAATGAGCTTTCCCTTAAAACTATACAAAATCGGTATATATCAATTATATTGATAAAGGTATGTCGTTATAATACAATAATTGTTTCAGAAAATCATAAAGTTGATTGTATTGGATGCATTTTGCAAATAACACAATGCTCCTAACACATTTCTTCTACGGTGTGAAAACTGTTGCGTTAGTCTTACTGCATCAAAATATTGATTTTTAGATTTGTTAAAATCATTGACCGCCTAAAGCAAATTGACTATGACATAAGAGATAATATCCAGTTTAGATGCGTTACTTTAGTTTGGTCAGATTATAGTTAAAATGTGGTACTAAAGCTAATCCTCATTTTATAATGAGATGGGTTGAGAATATCGTTTAAATTAGTGACATATAAATAACACTCAAAGAACGATCAACTTGACTGAATATAATTGGAAAGATTTATCACGCTTCAAATTTGACGTAATAAAATAACATGTATTTGTCAAGGGTAACAATGAAAACATATCAAAAGAAGCAATAAAATTAATTTATTATTCATTTATAATAAATTTACGAATAACAAATAATTCATAGGTCCTGCTTTAAATATGCTTGCCTGTTACAAATAAACACAATATATTTTTGTGAAAAAGGTCTTATCATTGTTATAGGTAAGGGACCAGGATGTGGACCACAAAAACCCCACCGGCAACATGGTCAACCCAGACCTCATCGTCCAAGACATCCACATCATCCTGGATACCAACAACCACCACAGGAGCCGCAACAACCACAGGGGCCGCAACAACCACAGGGTCCGAAACAACCACAGGAGCCACAACAACCACAGAGGCCGAAACAACCACAGGAGCCGCAACAACCACAGGGGCCGAAACAACCACAGGAGCCGCGACAACCACAGAGGCCGAAACAACCCCAGGAGCCACAACAACCACAGAGGCCGAAACAACCACAGGAGCCGCAACAACCACAGGGGCCGAAACAACCACAGGAGCCGCGACAACCACTGAGGCCGAAACAACCACGGGGGCCGAAACAACCACAGGAGCCGCAACAACCACAGGGTCCGAAACAACCACAGGAGCTGCAACAACCACAGGGGCCGAAACAACCACAGGAGCCGAAACAACCACAGGAGCCGAAACAACCACAGGAGCCGCAACAACCACAGGAGCCGCGACAACCACAGAGGCCGAAACAACCACGGGGGCCGAAACAACCACAGGAGCCGCAACAACCACAGGGTCCGAAACAACCACAGGAGCCGCAACAACCACAGGGGCCGCAACAACCACAGGGGCCGAAACAACCACAGGAGCCGCGACAACCACAGAGGCCGAAACAACCACAGGGTCCGAAACAACCACAGGAGCCGCAACAACCACAGGGTCCGAAACAACCACAGGGTCCGAAACAACCACAGGGGCCGAAACAACCACAGGAGCCGCGACAACCACAGAGGCCGAAACAACCACAGGGTCCGAAACAACCACAGGGGCCGAAACAACCACAGGAGCCGCGACAACCTAAGGGGCCGAAACAACCACAGGAGCCGCAACAACCACAGGAGCCGCGACAACCACAGGGTCCGAAACAACCACAGGGTCCGAAACAACCACAGGAGCCGCAACAACCAAAGGGGCCGAAACAACCACAGGAGCCTCAACAACCACAGGGGCCAAAACAACCACAGGAGCCGCAACAACCACAGGGGCCGAAACAACCACAGGAGCCGCGACAACCACTGAGGCCGAAACAACCACGGGGGCCGAAACAACCACAGGAGCCGCAACAACCACAGGGTCCGAAACAACCACAGGAGCCGCAACAACCACAGGGGCCGAAACAACCACAGGAGCCGAAACAACCACAGGAGCCGCAACAACCACAGGGTCCGAAACAACCACAGGAGCCGCAACAACCACAGGGGCCGAAACAACCACAGGAGCCGCAACAACCACAGGAGCCGCGACAACCACAGAGGCCGAAACAACCACGGGGTCCGAAACAACCACAGGAGCCGCAACAACCACAGGGGCCGCAACAACCACAGGGGCCGAAACAACCACAGGAGCCGCGACAACCACAGAGGCCGAAACAACCACAGGGGCCGAAACAACCACAGGAGCCGCAACAACCACAGGGTCCGAAACAACCACAGGAGCCGCAACAACCACAGGGGCCGAAACAACCACAGGAGCCGCGACAACCACAGGGTCCGAAACAACCACAGGAGCCGCAACAACCACAGGGGCCGAAACAACCACAGGAGCCGCAACAACCACAGGAGCCGCGACAACCACAGGGTCCGAAACAACCACAGGGTCCGAAACAACCACAGGAGCCGCGACAACCACAGAGGCCGAAACAACCCCAGGAGCCACAACAACCACAGGAGCCGCAACAACCACAGGGGCCGAAACAACCACAGGAGCCGCGACAACCACTGAGGCCGAAACAACCACGGGGGCCGAAACAACCACAGGAGCCGCAACAACCACAGGGTCCGAAACAACCACAGGAGCTGCAACAACCACAGGGGCCGAAACAACCACAGGAGCCGAAACAACCACAGGAGCCGAAACAACCACAGGAGCCGCAACAACCACAGGAGCCGCGACAACCACAGAGGCCGAAACAACCACGGGGGCCGAAACAACCACAGGAGCCGCAACAACCACAGGGTCCGAAACAACCACAGGAGCCGCAACAACCACAGGGGCCGCAACAACCACAGGGGCCGAAACAACCACAGGAGCCGCAACAACCACAGGAGCCGCGACAACCACAGAGGCCGAAACAACCACGGGGGCCGAAACAACCACAGGAGCCGCAACAACCACAGGGTCCGAAACAACCACAGGAGCCGCAACAACCACAGGGGCCGCAACAACCACAGGGGCCGAAACAACCACAGGAGCCGCGACAACCACAGAGGCCGAAACAACCACAGGGTCCGAAACAACCACAGGAGCCGCAACAACCACAGGGTCCGAAACAACCACAGGGTCCGAAACAACCACAGGGGCCGAAACAACCACAGGAGCCGCGACAACCACAGAGGCCGAAACAACCACAGGGTCCGAAACAACCACAGGGGCCGAAACAACCACAGGAGCCGCGACAACCTAAGGGGCCGAAACAACCACAGGAGCCGCAACAACCACAGGAGCCGCGACAACCACAGGGTCCGAAACAACCACAGGGTCCGAAACAACCACAGGAGCCGCAACAACCAAAGGGGCCGAAACAACCACAGGAGCCTCAACAACCACAGGGGCCAAAACAACCACAGGAGCCGCAACAACCACAGGGGCCGAAACAACCACAGGAGCCGCGACAACCACTGAGGCCGAAACAACCACGGGGGCCGAAACAACCACAGGAGCCGCAACAACCACAGGGTCCGAAACAACCACAGGAGCCGCAACAACCACAGGGGCCGAAACAACCACAGGAGCCGAAACAACCACAGGAGCCGCAACAACCACAGGGTCCGAAACAACCACAGGAGCCGCAACAACCACAGGGGCCGAAACAACCACAGGAGCCGCAACAACCACAGGAGCCGCGACAACCACAGAGGCCGAAACAACCACGGGGTCCGAAACAACCACAGGAGCCGCAACAACCACAGGGGCCGCAACAACCACAGGGGCCGAAACAACCACAGGAGCCGCGACAACCACAGAGGCCGAAACAACCACAGGGGCCGAAACAACCACAGGAGCCGCAACAACCACAGGGTCCGAAACAACCACAGGAGCCGCAACAACCACAGGGGCCGAAACAACCACAGGAGCCGCGACAACCACAGGGTCCGAAACAACCACAGGAGCCGCAACAACCACAGGGGCCGAAACAACCACAGGAGCCGCAACAACCACAGGAGCCGCGACAACCACAGGGTCCGAAACAACCACAGGGTCCGAAACAACCACAGGAGCCGCGACAACCACAGAGGCCGAAACAACCCCAGGAGCCACAACAACCACAGGAGCCGCAACAACCACAGGGGCCGAAACAACCACAGGAGCCGCGACAACCACTGAGGCCGAAACAACCACGGGGGCCGAAACAACCACAGGAGCCGCAACAACCACAGGGTCCGAAACAACCACAGGAGCTGCAACAACCACAGGGGCCGAAACAACCACAGGAGCCGAAACAACCACAGGAGCCGAAACAACCACAGGAGCCGCAACAACCACAGGAGCCGCGACAACCACAGAGGCCGAAACAACCACGGGGGCCGAAACAACCACAGGAGCCGCAACAACCACAGGGTCCGAAACAACCACAGGAGCCGCAACAACCACAGGGGCCGCAACAACCACAGGGGCCGAAACAACCACAGGAGCCGCGACAACCACAGAGGCCGAAACAACCACAGGGTCCGAAACAACCACAGGAGCCGCAACAACCACAGGGTCCGAAACAACCACAGGGTCCGAAACAACCACAGGGGCCGAAACAACCACAGGAGCCGCGACAACCACAGAGGCCGAAACAACCACAGGGTCCGAAACAACCACAGGGGCCGAAACAACCACAGGAGCCGCGACAACCTAAGGGGCCGAAACAACCACAGGAGCCGCAACAACCACAGGAGCCGCGACAACCACAGGGTCCGAAACAACCACAGGGTCCGAAACAACCACAGGAGCCGCAACAACCAAAGGGGCCGAAACAACCACAGGAGCCTCAACAACCACAGGGGCCAAAACAACCACAGGAGCCGCAACAACCACAGGGGCCGAAACAACCACAGGAGCCGCGACAACCACTGAGGCCGAAACAACCACGGGGGCCGAAACAACCACAGGAGCCGCAACAACCACAGGGTCCGAAACAACCACAGGAGCCGCAACAACCACAGGGGCCGAAACAACCACAGGAGCCGAAACAACCACAGGAGCCGCAACAACCACAGGGTCCGAAACAACCACAGGAGCCGCAACAACCACAGGGGCCGAAACAACCACAGGAGCCGCAACAACCACAGGAGCCGCGACAACCACAGAGGCCGAAACAACCACGGGGTCCGAAACAACCACAGGAGCCGCAACCACAGGGGCCGCAACAACCACAGGGGCCGAAACAACCACAGGAGCCGCGACAACCACAGAGGCCGAAACAACCACAGGGGCCGAAACAACCACAGGAGCCGCAACAACCACAGGGTCCGAAACAACCACAGGAGCCGCAACAACAACAGGGGCCGAAACAACCACAGGAGCCGCGACAACCACAGGGTCCGAAACAACCACAGGAGCCGCAACAACCACAGGGGCCGAAACAACCACAGGAGCCGCAACAACCACAGGAGCCGCGACAACCACAGGGTCCGAAACAACCACAGGGTCCGAAACAACCACAGGAGCCGCAACAACCAAAGGGGCCGAAACAACCACAGGAGCCTCAACAACCACAGGGGCCAAAACAACCACAGGAGCCGCAACAACCACAGGAGCCGAAACAACCACAGGAGCCGCAACAACCACAGGGGCCGGAACAACCACAGGAGCCACAGCAACCGCAGCCTCCGCAACTGCCACAACTTCCACGGCAACCAGGTTAGTCAGATATAACAAATAACGTTTCAATTCAAATTTAATATCATTGTTTTTGATAGAAGATCATTTCAAAACGGCATTTAAGGAAACAATGAGCTTTTCCTAAAAACTATACAAAATCGGTATACAGGAATAATTTAAAACCACTGCGAAGATTTTGTGAAAATAAACTTTAAGTAATTTAAACAAACACGTATTTTTTATTTTGATATGTTCTAATAAAAAAAAATTAAGTTATCAAAGATCGAGATTTTAAAACTTTATTTATGGACACCGCGCGCCGCGCGTCTGCTGAGCGCTCGTTCGATGCCGTAGGTATGTACTCGTAGATAGGTACCTATCTACACGGGTCACTGTCCGCTCATTTTGTTAGATTCGAACTAGATTTTATGCCATGATCTGAGGTGATTTCTAAGAGTAATTCCAATTTTCCCATCATACTTTTATGGTTAAGGCCATCAAAATGCAAAAAAAAATACAAGAGAAACAAATTCGTTACCTAGAAAAAAATATTAACGTTATGTCGAAGTTACATAGGTACTTCTGCGTTAAGGCGTATTTAAAAAAAATGGAATCAACTATGTATTTACAATAATGTTGAATCAAAACAAATACCTAACTAATTATTTACCATGTATTATAATATTTGATCAAAATGAAGTCCACGTCTGTCCAGACATAAACGTGCACATTTCATTAAATTGTAATTAAATTTATTAAAAAACACTAATGTCACTTTTCACTTCACTAAAAGCGTTATTATTTTTTATTGTTAAGTCTTCTAGACTTTGTGCCTCCTATACATCCCGGCGTTTGACTTCTTCCCATAAGAAACAGTCCCTCACGTGTGAATAATGCCTCATCCGTCCACAAGGTGTTTGCATCGCGGTGATGTAGAAGCCACTCATAAGGCTCGACGTGGTACTTGGTCTAGGTCATGGAACTGCTGAACCGGCTGAAAGTGGTACGGATGGAGTCCGGCTGTTTTTAGCAGCTTCAATACCGCAGGCTGGCTCACACCAAAGAGACATATCGCATCGTAGGTACTGACTCTGGGACTTCGTCTGTTAAAATGGTTCGAAGCATTAGGGACCGCGGGGTTACGGATCCCAAAGGCCTGCATACGAGGTATGCTCTTCGTCGCATACTTTCTCCGAATTGCGTTTATGTAGGTTCTCACCACTCAGAAGATAAACTCGTACCATCTCGTAAAACTCACGACGGCGGGCGCGTCGCGTGCGCGGGAACGCGAGGGCACGTCACATCGGCGCGTCGAGTCTCACTGCCGCCACTGTCACGCGCGTCGCTCGGTCCCGGCGGGGCGGCGGGGCTATGGCGGGGGGCTACCGGGCGCGACGGCGATGCACGCAAGAGAAGACGTTTTCATTGCAGTTTTATTTTAAAAAATGTGTTCATATTCTACCGTTTCAATAGGGATAAAATTTTTTTTTACTAATTATGGAAAAGTGTTCTATTACTGATACTGAATCACCAAAAAAAATTTATGCACTGGAAAAAAAATATTCCTGTATATCAATTAGATTTATAAATGTGTTCCGTTATAATACAATAACTGTTTTAGAAAATCATAAAGTTTTGCTTGTATTGGATGTATTCTGCAAATAACACAATGCTCCGAACACATTTCTTCTACGGTCTGAAACCGGTTTCGTTAGTCTTACTGCTTCAAAATATAATGTCGTTTCTAATATCAGCAGTCGCGTATGGCGCAGGATCGCGTCGCGTTCTTACTGTGAATTAAAATCTTACTCCGTCCTAAAATAAATCGAGAGATTAAGTAAGAACTTTTAAAATTATTAACCGCCTCAAACAAATTGACTATGACATAAGAGATAACGTCCAGTTTATACGCGTTGTCTTATTTTGGTCAGATTATTATTAAAATGTGGTATTGCGGTTAATCCGCAATTTATCAAATTTGTGACACAATAATAACACTCAAAGAACGATCTACTTGACAGAATATAATTATAAAGATTTATCACGCTTCAAATTTGACGTAATAAAATAACATGTATTTGTCAAGGGTAACAATGAAAACATATCAAAAGTAGCAATAAAATTAATTTATTATTCATTTATAATAAATTTACGAACAACAACATATCAAAATTTCGCAATGCTTAATATTTCAAAGATTTAAATATGCTCTCCGGCTACGGATATAAACAATATAATTTTCACGAAAAATATTTTGCCATTGTTATAGGTAAGGAACCAGGAAGTGGACCACATAAGCCGCACCGGCCACATGGTCCACACAGGCCTCATCGTCCAGGACATCCACACCGCCCACATCGTCCACATCGGCTAGGTCATCCACGCTGCCCACATCATCCACATCGCCTTTGTCATCCACATCATCCTGGACAACCACAACAACCGCAAGACCCACAGCAGCCGCAAAAACCACAAAACCCACAACAACCGCAAGACCCACAGCAACCGCAACAGCCACAAAAACCACAAAACCCACAACAACCGCAAAACCCACAGCAACCGCAACAGCCACAAAAACCACAAAACCCACAACAACCGCAATACCCACAGCAACCGCGGCAGCCACAAAAACCGCAGAAACCACAAAAACCACATAAAGGAAGAGTTTGTGCATGCTGGGAAAGCATAGACAAGGTTCCAGCCAACGTTCGTAAACTATTGGGGTTCGATTAATACAAGGACAGAAGAACTTTAAGAAACGAAAAGCGAAAGAAAAATTGAAGATTACATAATATTTTTTATTTAATGCCTTAATTATATAAATATACATGTATTTATTATATTGAGCAACATAAAAATCCAAGATTTAAACTTGGGCAAAAAACAAATAAATTGATAATTTTATTTATACCATTTCATTTTATTTATGTGTAAAACAGAAAAAGGTGTATCCTTGTTCCTTTATTTTAGTTCGTTTTTTTTGGTAATTGTTACACTATTCTATTAGAAGTTGCTGATTAAGTTAACGTTGTTCTCACAGACACGAATTCGAAATCAAGTTTCTGTTTTAATGAATTAAATATTTTCGTTTTACTCAAATCAGTGTATGTATTGTTACGAGTATTAGAGGTGGTAATAAATGAGAAGTCATTGAATAAAAACTTATCTGTGTTGCCTGTAATTTTAAAATGAACGAGGAATTGATAAATTCTGATCTCGCCTGAACCATGAGAGATTTTAAAATTTTACTTACCACATTATTTAGGTTCAAATGGGATGGTCCAAAAAAAATCCAATGTTAGTCAATATCCGTTATCACCTCTCTTCAGCTTGTTTCGTTCTTTGGGTGTGTGTTATGTTATGTTTCACGGCGGGTTTTTCCGCAACTCGACACTCTGTGCCTATTTTGCATGACACGGGGTTGCATTAGTCCTGCCACCCCAGCTCCTTCAGGAAGTCCTTAAGTTCCCGAAATCTGCCGCATGCCTCCACTAGTGTCCTTGGGCTACCATGTGTAGTCCTTTGTCTTAATAGTCTTAATAGACCACTGCACTCCAGTAACACATGAGCGCTTGTCTCCTCAGTCTCCATGCACGCCCTGCACAGAGAACTGTCAAAGTAATCCATATTCTTTGGGTGTGTGTCCATGTTCTTTGGGTGTATGCCTCCTTCAATTCGCACTATTTGCCACGATCTTTTACAATCCGAATCCACTTTTTTAAGCGATGCTTTCCATCCACATTTGAAGCCTTCCAGGAGTACGTTTTCACTCCATGACGGCCACTCAAGCGCTTGCTCTACGAAATGGATTTGCTGGCAATATGAACTACCCTTTCAAGGAGACCTACATATACCCGAAGGGTCGAGACAGGCTGACGAGAGAGAGAGAGATGAATTACCCGTTCAAGGTAGGTCTTCCATCCTTGTGAAAGAAAACAAAATGTAAAATCTGATGTGAAAACTTTTATAGTGTATGCTGATCATTTAGAACCATAGAACTTCAATTTATACTTCATTCAATTTGTCGTCTATTGGATAAAAATATTTGCTTAAGTCATAACATTTTCTCAAGCAATTACATCTCACGACTATAGATAGATACCAATGTAAGTGTGGATTACCAATTCTATAATCCAACTATTTCATTAACTTTCGTTGTACCTACCTTTTCAATCTTATCTTAATATGAATTATCATAGACACACATTAATTAATTTATGAGACCAAAAATTCAAATTTCATTAATACTTAACACTATCAAAGTATTATATTTGATTAATTTTGCATTTACTATGCTATATTGAATAATCACGAAACAGAAAGTCTTTTAAAGTAAATATAAAACGCGCATAAGTACACATAATTGCACACACACACACACACACACACACACACACACACACACACACACACACACACCACACACACACTCAACACACACCACACACTCACACACACTTACACACGCATGAATACACGTAAATAATAAACAAGCTTGATCACTATAAAAAAAAAATGGTTTCAAGGATATATAAATAAACGATTTTGGAGGAATCGCAACTCCCAAAATACAGGTTGACCCTAGTTTGGGAGATGTGGCTCATATTACTAAGTTACATAAATTTCCTTGTAATTTCTTAAAATAGTCACCATTGTCTGTAATTTTAAAAGTGAAATAAAGATTTATTATTATTATTCCTATATTTATAATTTACTCTTCCCGACCCCTCGACGATTCGAGGGGTGGGAGGATTCCCCCTGGCAGAGGAGGCCAGACGGCCGGGGGTCAGGGCGACAAAGAGAGATTATTATTATTATTATTATTATTATTATTGGTCCGACTGATTCTGGTAATGAAGCTAAATTACTATGGTATTGAAGGCACTGCCCTTCAACTAATACTGTCTTACCTCAGTTCTAGAACTCAAACTATAGTAAACGGTACGCGATCATCTGGTTCACAAGTGAAAATGGGGGTTTCCCAGGGATCTATTCTAGGTCCCTTTCTATTTCTAACATACATAAGTGATTTGCCTTCTCTGTTGAAAATTTATGCAATATTTTGTGTCTTTGCCCCTGTATCCAAGCAAAAGCTAAAAATCAGAGTTTTGCTTACTGTGAGTGTAAGTATGAGCTTTTGTCTACTTGCGTCGCTGTAATACACACTATAACGTTTACATGTGTCATACTTGTGTTTGTGTTGCCATAGACTTACGAACCGGTGGCTTAGAGTTTCGACTTTCACATGTGCTTTATAACAGCCTAGACTGAAAAATAATTTTGATTTGATATACTGGAAAATATTCTTAATGAAAAACCCTTAAAAAATCCACTTTATCCCTGGCACTCTGAAATGGGGCGCGAACCCATGACCTTTCGCGATCCGGGCGACTGCTCTAAACCACTGAGCTACCCAGGACCTAACTGTTACTTGTTACTTTATCGCTACTACCGAGCGTATTTTCGTCAATGTTCAGGCAATCCACCCAAACAGCCGAAAGAAATATTAGGGGTTAAAGTATGAAATTGCCGTTTTATTGTAATAGGTTCCTTGAATTGACATAGAATCTTCATGGTTTGAGGTTTTCGAAAGAAACTTTTTTCACATGGTTTCTTTGATATTCTTCTTTTAGAAAATGTGAAACATTTGAATATCGACTTTCAATTGATTTGTTATTCAACTTAGACAACAAAGATGAATACGCGGCAGAAACAGCCCGCAATATCAATTTTGCTTTTGGAGCGGTCTGCTAATGAACGGCGCTGTGCGATTTTGGTTTAAACGCTTTCGTGATGGAAACTTCGACTTAATGATCGCCTTCGATTTTCGACCGCCCACACAGGTGAATAACGATGAACTAAGAGAATGGTTCTCTTAATCCTCCTCCTTAACCATCCATAAGGAAGGCCTGAGCCCCTGCAGTGGGGACGTAAAAGGGCTGATGATGATGATGAAGAGAATGGTGGAAGCCGATCCATGTCAAACTACCCAAGAATTAGCGGCATGGTTTAACGTTACCTTGCCCTCGATATTAATTCATTTGCGTCAAATCAATAAATTAAAAAAATACGAAATACGGGTGCCTCATGATTTGACTGAACTGCAGAAAGAAACGCGTGTTGAAACTTGTGTTGCCTTGTTGAATCGGTACAGAAATGAAGGAATATTGGATCGAATTGTGACATATAATGAAAAGTGGATTCTTTATGATAACTATAACAAAAAAATACAATGGCTGACCCCAGGTCAAACGCCACACACAGTATCCTAAAGCAAAACTTACCAATAAAAAGGAAATGGTAACTGTTTGGTCGTTTCAGCATGGTGTTATTCACTATAGCTTTCTTCGATATGGTCAAGCAATAACGGCAAATGTCAATTGTGCCGAACTCCGAACAATGTTGGTAAAACTAGCAGTAAAACAGCCCCAACTGATGAATCGATCTTCACCATTATTGCTCTATGACAACGCGAGACCTCATACAGCACGAGAAACCGTTTTGACCCTTCAGGAACTGCAGTTAGAAACCATTCGTCATCCTCCGTATTCGCCAGACCTGTTGGAGCAAGGTCTGGACTACCTTTTTTCCGTGATTTGGACAATTATCTTCGTGACAAGAAGTTTTCTTCCCAGGAGGCAGTACAAAATGCTTTCACACAGTTTGTGCAGTCTAGATCCTCAGAGTTCTATCGCAAAGGCATAAATGACCTTCCTATTAGATGGCAGCAATATATAGATAATAATGGTTACTATTTTGATTAAATAAATTTGTTAAAAGTAAATAAACGTGGCAATTCCAGCGTGACAAAACATTTAACTTGAAAAACAATGACGTAGGTAGGCATAAATATAAAAAAAATCATGTTATATGTATGGATTATTGTTTTCAATTGAAAAGTGACAGCGCGTGACATGACTCACTGTCATACTTATGTGTTATTTGGTAGTTGCTGGCTGAGGAATCACTCCCATACAGCCGTATTTGTAGTTTTTGTTTTTCTTTTCTTTCGGCGTCGGTGATTTTAGAGAGGATGGGCTATTTTTGTTTATTATATATTAAATTATTTAATATATATCTTAATATTTACGTTATAATTTATTTTGTAATTCGCACTTATCAAATATCCATTTGGTTTGTTTTTTTTTCTTGTATATAATTTTTATTTTTAATCGACGCAACTGTAAGGCTCCTGTTAGAATAACAGCGCCCTTAGTATCATTCTGCCCATCTAAGAATGCTACAGGGGCCTTTGCTAAGATAGGGGTCCATCTTGACCTCGCATTTTTTTTTTCTTTTTTCCTTTCTATACTGTTATGATTACGCATGTGGGGTCAATAAATAAATGTCTTATTTTTGTCTTTTTAAGATTTTCAGTACAAACCGGCAATTTCATACTTTAACCCCTATTATAATGTTTATTAAAATACATTTTCACATACTTATTAGAGAATCTTGTAATGAGTACTCAAAACAATATCGTCAGCCCTTTTACGTCCCCACTGCTGGAGCTCAGGCCTTCCTCTATTCTGGCCCAATGCGGTTTGGAGAATATTAACGGATACCAATGCAGCCGGGACCAACGGCCTAACATGCCTTCCTTAGTAGACCGAGATAATAACCAGTGGTCGGAATTAGGTAGAGTTATTCATGTACTTACACTGATTTCATACAGCGAAAGAATAAAGTGGATATGCCTCAAATCCCGAGATTAATTTTAAAGAGCAGAATAAATCCTGTGATTTTTTAAATAAAAAGTTA